AGCAAAACCCTTGTCCTCCAAAACTTTTTTAAAAAGAATTTTTCTTAAGGTTTTGACTTAATAATTCCACAAAAAAAAAAGTTTTAAATTTGCTTGAGGACAAGCAAAGCTCAAGTGTGGGGGTATTTGATAAGCGTTTTATTAACGTATTTTATACAATAATTTATAAACGCTTTTATACTTAAAAGAATAAAACTCTCACACATATGTCTCGTTTTGCAAGAAAGAGTATAACCGACAATTGGATCAAATACGAGGATGAAAAGACACACGAAGAATCCCGACAAGTAAAGGTCAACCAAATGCATCCCGAAGAACAAAAGAAAAAGAGGAAAATACACCAAAGGGGTGAAAGCCGTCCGGCTTTCACCAAAACCGGCCGGTTTTCACCAACCAATCATCCAGTTGTCGTCCGAAGATGAAGGAAAAGCATCCGGAACAAAACAAGATGAAAGCCGCCCGGCTTTCATCAAAGGCGCCCGACTTTGGACGCCGTGGATTTTATTCAGTAAATCGAACCAAAAGCCGCCCGAATTTTGGCATAAGCCGTCCGGCTTTCGGTCCCTGGAGCGGAGAAGCCTGTTTTAAACGCGCAAAAGCCGCCCAGCTTTTGCGAATGTCGCCCGCCTTTCGCCTGAAGCTGATTAAAACAAGCAACGGTCATCACAATCATTCGGGCAAAACACCAAATCCCATTAAGGAGCTTGCTTCCTTGTCCAAAAATGGCCATTGAGAACTCAATATTTAAGAGGATTGAAGCCCTCTCAATACATTATTCCAGATTCTACACACTTTACTTCTACTTTGGCATCCCAAGAGCAACCCCTTGGTCTTGGGAGAAGTTCTACACTTGGGGAAAGCTTTGTCCACCATAGCTTTGGAGTTGTGGTATCATTTTCTTATGTATTTCATTGTATTTTATCATTTCAATACTTGTAATTTCATTATGAATTGTTCTAGCTAATTTTCTATAGCCAAGGTTAGGGATGAAACTTTACGCACTCTAGGTGTTTGATGTATGTTCTCAACCAAATTATTATGATCTTTCCTTTATATTTTAATGTGTATGACTACGGTGTACAACGTATGATTATATCGTTGAGTTTATTTGAGCAATTAACGTTGAGTTATAAACCATGCACTTAAAGGTTAGACATATTCTAATTGTGGATAGAAATATACCTCAATTGAGTATTGTGGTTTTTATAATGTCCTAATCCTCAATGGGGTTAATTTTAGATGAATGTGAACCGTGACGGGATTCACACGTAGAATTAATCACAATCTCGCTGCCGTAACAGGAGTTAGAATACTTTAGTGACATTCCACTAATAAGAATTGGCGAAAGAACATATATTCATCACTAGGAGTCGTTTAGGAGTAATCCCGAATCCTTGGTTGCTTTTATTATCTCTTAAAAGCCAAAAATCTTTACTCTTTTCTTAAGTCTTTTACTAAACCGCTTTCACTTTTGAATCATAAAAACAACGTTTCCTTGTGTTCGACCCGGTATTTTTACCGGAATTTATTACTACATTGGCACTTGTACACTTGCAAGTTTTAGTCGATCAATGCTTTGGAACGTAAATATAAAAGCGAGGATGCCGGTGCAAAGAAATTTGTTGTCGGTCGATTCCTTGATTTTAAAATGGTGGATTCGAAGATTGTCTTGAGTCAAGTTGAGGAGATGCAAATGATGTTCAATGAAATTCGAGATGAAGGAATGACAGTTAGTGAGTCTTTCCAAGTGGCATCAATTATCCATTTATTGCCGCCGGCTTGGAAGGATTTCAAGAACCACCTTAAGCATAAGTGAAAGGAAATGAACGTGGAGCAATTGATCCTCCGTCTGCGGATTGAAGAGGATAACCAGAAGAACGATGTGAAACTCCCAATCGTTACCAGCGCCAAGGCAAACGTGGTGGAGCATGCTAAATGCTCCAAAAATAAAAATAATGGGAAGAGCAAGCTCGGTCCCAAGCGAGGCATTTCCGAGACGAAGTTCAACGAAAAATGCTTCAATTGCAATAAAAAATGGACACAAGTCCGCGGATTGCAAGGCACCCAAGAAGAAGAGGGACTCTCAAGTCAACTTGGTGCAAGATGAGCAAAAGTATGAAGACATAATCCTTGCAGCCGTGGTGACCGAGGTCAACCTCATTGGATCCAATTCCAATGAGTGGTTCGTGAACACCGGTGCTACCCGACATATTTGCTCAAACGGGGAGCTATTCACGACTTTTGAGCCATCAAATGGTGAAAAGGTGTGGATGAGAAATTCTGCTCATTCCGCAGTTGAAGGCATGAGCAAGGTGTTCCTGAAGATGACTTCGGGCAAGGAGCTGACTCTCAACCAAGTGCTGTTTGTTCCGGAGATACGCAAAAACCTGATCTCCGGCTCGTTGTTGAACAAGCATGGCTTCCGCATGGTTTTTGAGTCGGACAAACTAGTTTTGTCTAAGTCGGGAATGTATGTGGGGAAGGGGTATAAATGTGATGGGCTGTTTAAGCTCAATGTAATGACTAATAATAATAATAATAATAATAATAATAATAATAATAATAAAATCACTTCTGCTTACTTGTTTGAGTCTTCCAATGTGTGGCATGATAGACTATGACATGTTAGTTTTAATTCTATACGTAGATTAATTAACATGGAACACATTCCTAAATTCACAATTGATGTGAAGCACAAATGTGAAGTTTGTGTAGAGGCAAAACTAACAAAAATGTCTTTCAAATCGGTTGAAAGAAAAACAGAACCACTTGAATTAATTCATAGTGACGTTTGTGATTTTAAATCAATACAAACACGTGGCGGTAATAAATATTTTATTACTTTTATCGATGATAGCACTCACTATAGCTATGTTTATTTATTAAAAAATAAACACGAAGCAATCGATAAATTCACTCTTTATAAAAATGAAGTGGAAAATTAACTTAATCGACGGATTAAAATGTTTAGAAGTGATCGAGGTGGTGAGTATGAAACACCAATTAGTGACTTTTGCGCGAGCGTGAGTATAGTACATGAACGTACCGCACCCTATTCACCTCAATCAAACGGTGTTGCCGAACGAAAGAATCGCACATTGAAAGATATAATGAATGAGATGCTAGTAAGTTCGGACCTACCACAAAATATGTGAGGTGAAACAGTCTTGTCAAGCAATTACTTTTTAAATAAGGTTCCCCGGAAAAAAATATGATAAAACTCCATACGATTTGTGGAAAGGTAGAAGATCTTCCTATCAATATTTAAAAGTGTGGGGCAAGTCTTGCAAAAGTGTTTGTACCTAGGGCTGGGTTCGGTTCGGGACCCGAACCGATTTAGTATAAACCCGAACCGAACCGATATTTCGGTTTACTAAATTACAAAAACCGAAACCGAACCGTATTAAGAACGGGTACCGATTTTTGGGGCCCGAATTATTCGGTTCGGTTTACCGGGAACCGAAAAACCGACTCAATTTTAAAAAATAAATTTGAACTAATATTCAGTAGACTAAAGCTCATTGGAACTTTCCAATATTTGAGCCCCATTAGCCCAATTGGAAGCCTAGAACGTATCTTAGCATCCTACAATAAGGGAACCTGGTTTATATTGAAGTTTTTGGAGTAGTAAGCTGCTCATTTTCCAATGTGGGACAGAATAGAAGAAGAAAGAAGCCAAATTCTAAAAATACAAAACATTACACAGCATACGAGAATCAATCCCTCGACCATTTGCTGGGGATAGGAGCACAACGACCAACTCCGCTACTCGTCATCTTTGTTCAAACCATACTCGGGTTTATATTATTACTATATTTTTCGTCATTAATTATTATTATTATTATAAATAACAATTATTATTATTAATATAAAAATGTCGGTTCGGTTCGATTCGAACCGATATTTTGTGCACATAAACCGAACCCGAACCGATTTTTTTTCGGGTCCCGATTATTGGGTCCCAATTTCGTTCGGTTCGGTCCGGTTCGGTTTTTTTCTAAAACGGTTCGGTTATTTTCGGTTCGGTTTTCGGTTTTTCGGTTCAAAATGCCAGCCCTATTTGTACCAACACCTAAGAAAATAAAAATAGGTCCAAAAACGGTGGACTGTATTTTTATTGGATATGCACAAAATAGTAGTGCTTATCGTTTTTTAGTGTGCGATTCGAATAATCCGGATGTACATAAAAACACAATAACTGAATCAAGGAATGCTTCATTCTTTGAAAAAGTATTTCCATACAAGTCCAACGAAGGACCAAACACGTCAAAACGAACATTTGACGTAGCTATGGAAAATACTAGCGAGGGGTCCGGAGAAGAAGCCGAACCCAGACGTAGCAAACATGCTAGAGTTGAAAAATCCTTCGCACCGGATTTTCTCACCTGCTTGGTAGAATTTGACTCGGATATTCTAACATGTATGTGCATGTAATTTATAAATTTTATACTTTTATAAAAAATATTTTATTAAAGAATACAACTAAAGTGAGATAATTTTTTAACATATTTGATCAGGTCTAATGATCAAAAGCATTTATTAGATTTTTTTTAATTGTGATAATTTGAGTTTACACCTCATTTTATTGTCCAAATTAAACTTTACACTCATTTTTTAAAATGTTCATTTTTGAACTCCAATCCATACGAAAAAACAAAATACAATCCATCCTTTGTGGACATTTTTAGTCTAAAAAAGAGGGCAAAAGGAAAAGCTTTTCACACAATCCATCGGCCACACAAGTATTCCGTATAAATCGGGCGTACAGCAACATTCCCATCGAGCATGTGCCCCACTATAACCATCCGTCCATTTTTAGTTCCACCCATAAAAATGAAACAAACACCTCCTTTTCCCATCTCCAAAACAACATATATGCCAAAATTCTATTCCCAAACCTTCCATTTCTAGTCCAATCAACTGCTCTCTGGAATCTAACAGCTTATTTGCATTAAAATGACAGAAACAAACACCTGGTTCAACTTACCTATTCCCCTCTTGTCATTTCATACTAACAAAGTAATCATAGTACTAAATGCATGTGTATTCTTTCAAATGTCGCGTCGATAATAATAATAATAGCTCAACCGGTGAATAGAGAGATAACCCGAGTTTATTCAATAAAGGGTGTCTCTAACTTCTGTAAGTGTCAGTATATACTCAGAGTTATATCAATTAAATTGCAATTATAGTTTAACTTAAACTTTTTTGTAGCCAACTGTTCGACCGTTTAGTAGCAGGTATGCATTTCTCCAACCATTATTTAAGCTTTTGTTGTGAAAGAAAGATAGTGAAGTTTTTTTTTTTTTTTTGTAGAATGGACGCTGCGAAATTCGCAAGAATGGAGAGTAGAGCTAAAGAAGAAGCCAAGGTGCCGAGAGACACCTACAGGCTTGCATACATAATCCACTTCCTGCTGGGTGCAGGGAGCCTGCTGGCGTGGAACGCCCTGATCACAGCCGTGGACTACTTTGAGTACTGCTACCCGGGCCTGCACGTCGAGAAGGTCTTCTCCGTGGCATACATGAGCTCCTCCCTGGCAACCATGGTTATGGTGCTTGTGGGATTTGGGAGGCATAACACTATTACAAGAAGCTGGTTCAGGCTCAGAATGAACTTGGGATTTTCCATGTTTGTTCTGTCTCTCATGCTCACTCCAACCATGGATTGGTGGTTCAAGAAGAAGGAGCTGACTAATAAGTGTGCTGCTCCGTACTCCGCTGTGGTTTCATCTGTGGTAATATGCGGTGTAGGGGACGGTTTGGTTGGTGGAACGCTGTTCGGCTCTGCTGGAAAGCTGCCTAAGCAGTACATGCAAGCCATCTTTGCTGGCACTGCTTCTTCAGGTTGGTTACATTCACTAACTTAGTTTGATCAAGTTTCATAATACTTTGTTTCACTTGTCTTATTTATAGGTACAAAGCAAATATGTAAGAAAAAGGAAAATTATGCTAACGGGAAAGAACTGCTATGGGTTTGATCTTAAGTAATTCCATATTAAACATACATAAAAATACAAACCTGCAGCTTATGAAGTTTTAAGGCAACTTTTTTTAATAAATTGATCTCTTTAGCCAATTTAGCGTGATTACTGTTAAGAACTGAGGTTCTATTATAAAAGGTCAAACTAATGATCAGTTTTCCTTTGATGATCAGTTTGTTTTTGCATTCTGGAAAACCAACATGTTTTATTGTAAGAGGTCAAACTAATAAGAGTAGGAGGAGTCCAAGAACTTATTACTTGTCCTTTAATGATCAGTTTTTTTTTTGGATTCTGGAAATCAACAGGGGTTTTAATATCTGCATTGAGAGTCATAACAAAAGCGTCGCTTCCCCAGACACCACAGGGTCTGAAAACCAGTGCACACTTCTACTTCATAGTGAGCACGGCCATTCTGATGGGTTGCATTGCCTGTTCGAACCTCCTCCACAAGCTGCCTGTGATGCAGCAGCATTACAGGCTTCTCCAGGACGATCAGAACTCGAGCCCGAAGCCCAGGTTCTGGAATGTTGCAAGAGCAATCAGATGGCCCGCTTTCGGGATCTTCATGATTTACACTGTCACTTTGTCAATCTTCCCGGGATTCCTCGCCGAAAACATACATTCGGAGATGCTTCAAGATTGGTACCCCATTCTGCTCATCTCAGTGTATAACATTTCAGATTTCTTGGGGAAGTCGATGACGGGAATCTATGTTGTGGATAGCATCGGGAAGGCAACATGGGGTTGTGTTGGCAGGGTTTTGATGTACCCTTTGTTTAGTCTCTGCCTCCACGGCCCGAACTGGTTGAAGACTGAGACGCCTATTATATTTCTGACCATAACTCTGGGAGTAACCAATGGCTACTTTACCAGTGTCCTTATGATTCTTTCCCCCAAGTCAGTGCCACTTTCTGAATCAGAAATAGCTGCCATTGTGATGGCAGTTTTTCTGGGTATAGGTTTGGTTTCGGGATCGGTTCTTGGCTGGATTTGGATCATATGAACTTTGGACGATTGTGTCATGTGAAACATCAAATGTAAAACTTTTTTTGTTAATGTGTGCACTATACAACGTTTGGGTCCTGTGGTTTTGCCATCGGGTTGAAACTTGGAAGGGCATATTAATTTTGATCGTTCTGAATGTAAAATTAGAAGCAGGTTATATGAAGGGAGAAGTTTGATAAGCAGGTCTTAATACTACCTCAGTTTTGTTTGCAAACATATTCCTCTTTGGGCTTTTTTATTTGCAATATTTTCGTCTATGGTAAGTTTTTTCCATATTTTTTCCTGCAATACCTCAGTTCTCTTTACTGTTTTTCTAGTTTTTCCTCTTTTGGTTCATACTTTTTCATCCATGACACTTTTTTACAACTTATTATCTTTTTTTCTTAATCTCTGCGAAACATCTATACTTGTAAATAAAAAACATATATTACAATCTATGTTGCACGGAAACCTAAAAATCATGGAGAAACGGGAAACATAATCTTTTAGTAAAAATACAACTATATGGAGAGTGTCTGAAACGGAAACGTACTCTTTCCCGAGAGTTTTCGTGCTTCATATATTACAATAAGTGTTTCATTTTCTTAATATCAATGTTTGATCAAAGTAATTGTTGAAGACATAATTTGAGCAATGGGGTAACAATACTAGGAGACAATATATTGTAATATTAGAGGAAACCCATTGTTAATTGTTACACCCAAACACCACTTGAAATATCCTAAGGTTGAAAGAACTTGTTCCTACACCTGCATTTCCATGAGAGAAGATAGTAGTTTTCATCTCCTGGGCCTGTTGATGAAGAAGAAGCCCTTCTAAACCACCACCACTTGTGTGGTGGGATGACTAAAGCTGCAACACAAGGTCTGCACCCCATGCACCTTCCCACACACTTTGGTGGGCTTGATCCCAACACCATTCTCATTTCTTTCCCCCTTCCTGTCACCAAATCATCCCAAATTCCTCATTAAGGCTTACAGCTTTATTAAAAACAAGAATAACTATCAACCTCAAAAAGAAGATCTAGTATCTAGTCTAGCTAAAGAACTGAAGAGGTTTCTTTACTGAAACAGATCCAAACATCTAACTGCTCTTGGGAGTTGGACTTTTTATGTTTGGAGATGTCATCTTTAAAAGGAAAAACTATTGGTACATTTTGAGGGCAACACCAATAGACATCAGAGATGTCTACTAATTTGTCTAGTACTATGGAGTAGTTATTTGTAAAATTTTATACTTGAATGTCAAAATTGTAAACTAGTAAAGTTATTATGTAAAATTGAATTTGGTCAAATGAATTTTTTGTAGCGCTTTCATTAAAAAAAAAACTTACATTATGTTAAGACTTTACATACGATTTTATATCTTATATTTGAATGAAGATCAAGTTATAACAATGTGTAATGTCAACAAATAACTTAGAAGGGAAGTTTTCAAAGTACCATCATACTGAAACTATATGAATGTAAGGGTATTTACTACCTCGTACTATTTAGAAAGAAAATATAGTACTTCCTTTTAGTGACAAATCCTAAATAACTTATACTACTTATAAGTTATCCTATAATCCCTGGTTTATATCTTATAATCCATAGAATTCTTTAAAAAGAAAAATAACCTCCGTCCCCTCTTCCAACTCTCAAAACCAACTTCTACAAATTGGGTTTTTTCCCACCAGCTTGTCTATCCATTTACCTGAAATGGAAGGGAGCCATGCGATGGAATAGATGAGAAGCACAATTAGAGCAAGTCTGGGCACAATTTGGTAAAAGTTTGAGGTAGCCATCACTCTAGTCTCTGCTTTGACCACATAAGTCAACACTATATAGCTACTCACAAATGGTGCTAATAAATTCAGAGTATTTGGTGTGTTTTGGGGAGAAGGAAAAAGGGTCTCTCACTCTCATTTTATGGGCAGTTTGTCAAGTGTAGGACCATAGCAGATGATCAAGTTTCAACAATGATGCAACATGATTTTACTCTGTAATCTTATGTTCACATATCCTCTTTTAATAATGATAGATAGTCTACTTGAGTGTTATCCAACAACCAATATTTTATTGGAAAATGCAGTTTGTACACCGCAGTTTGTACACGCCATTGTTGTACTGACAATTTGACCGGCGTTTTATGGAGAAAAACGGTTTTCACACAGACAAAAAAAATTGTCTCTATCACAGACCATTTGACTGGTGTGTACAAAAGAAGTGCTTCATTGTCTCTGACACAGACAATTTTTTTGTCTATGTGAAAATCGGTTTTCATCATAAAACATCGGTCAAATAGTCAGTACACAGATAATTTGACTGACGTGTACAGTGTCACATTCATAAGATGAGTGTGACAGAGATGCGCATGCTGCGTTGGATGTGTGGGCATACTAGGAAGGACCGCGTGAGGAATGAGACAATCAAACAAAGGGTGGGAGTAGCACCTATTGAAGACAAGATGCGGGAGTCGCGTCTACGGTGGTTTGGTCATGTGCGTAGAAGACCGAGTGATGCACCTGTTAGGCGAGTTGAGATGTGTGGACAAGAGGCAGGGAAGAGAGGGAGAGGAAGACCCAAACAGACGTGGGTTAGGGGAGTTCGAAGTGATATGCTTTTTCTGGGGTTGGATGAGGGCATGACTTTGGAGAGAACTAAGTGGAGGGCGGGTATTCACGTGAAGGAGTGATCTTGATAATTTTTTTCCCTCATCTTTTTTTTCGTAGTTTTTTTTATCCTTATATATATATATATATATATTTATAAGCATTATTTGCAACCTTTTTATTTTATCATTTATATATATATATTCATCTTTTTTATATTATCTTTTCATAATAGCTTATCTTTTTATCTTTATTCCTTCTTTTCCTTTTGGTTGTGATATCATGTATCGATTCATGTTAGCCGACCCCAATATCTTTTGGGACTAAGGCTTGGATGTTGTTGTTGTTGTTGTAGAATGACGTGTACACAAAGCAAGATTGTATTTATTGGCAATGATATTAGAATTACGGAGTATTAGATATTGTTAAGATCTGAGGTTCTAATATAAAAAGTCAAACTTGATAGAAGGAATTGCTCATATCTTATATATCGTTTCCTTGTTTTATACCTTTCCGGGGTAGGACAAATACTTTAACACGCTCTTTTAGTCTGGACGAGGCTAAACAATATTGGAGTGTATAAATTGGTGCTAACAAGTTACTCATAATCATGAGTGTTAGTTATACAAGCAATCAAACTCTTAACAAATTAATCTTGATCATTGGTGCTAAACAAGCTTTCAAACCACAATCAGGTTTTAATTTCATCCTCAAGGTCAATTTGATAGAAGGAGTCCAAAATGTTATATAGTGTTTTATTATTTTATAACTTTTCGGTGTGAGACAAATATTTTAAGTGATATTTATATTCTATGTTTCATCATTACTGATTCGTTTTAGGATGTTTTTACTTGGACTGTTTTCAGTCCAGACCAGACCAGACCAGATTTAAACAGATCAGACCAGATCAGACCAGACTTAAACAGACCAGGCTTAGACAGACCAGACTTGACTTCTGTAGTTATAAAATACACAGAGACCAGACGTTTACCAGACCAGACCAGACTTAAACAGATCAGACTAGACCAGACTAGACTTAAACAGAGCAGACCAGACCAGCAAATTATAGTCCAAGTAAAAACATCCTTAGTACTCCCTCCGATCCCAAAACAACTTCACACTTTCCTTTTTGGGTACGTCCAACATAAACTTCACACTTCTAATTTTGGCAACTTTTTAATATAAAAACTTCATACTTTATTACCTACTTTACGCTCACTTTCTCTCTCTCACTACGCTTTATCCACTTTTTGGGGGCATGATGAGAATGTTAAAACAAAAAATTCTACTTTCTTAAAGTTCTTTTGGGACCGGTAGTTTTTATTCTAATGATCAAACTTAACATAAAAATAACACGAAAAAATTCAGCTTCCATTATATTATTATGATCATCATATACGGCCGGAGCATATCATATTATTACTATTTATTTGCAAAAAAAAAAAATCATATTATTACTATAACTGTTATTCATGTTGCTTTATTAATTATTAGTCCTTATCATCAGTTTGGTAATGGCAATGAAATGTCGAGTCAAGTTGGATTCTTGCCGTGATTGTGATTTCTTTTTGCTGGCATGGTTTGAGCGTACAAGGATATGACAGTCGTCTAAAGGGAGTAAGGGGATTCTTTTAAATTTTACTTTATATGTTCTATAGTTCTTTCACTACTGGCTCCAAAGGAAAGGGAACAAAATATTGCAGCGTTGCGTTTGCCTTTACCAAAGCGAACAGTTATTTAGAATAGTTGTTAGTTTTGTCTCTTCTCTTGCATAATATGCACAGATATTTCATACAGAAGCTAGCTGCACTGTTAAAAAGGGCATCTTTCATTGGTGCTTTTGAGTTTTGATACTTTTTCAATTCCTTTCACAGAGGTTTTTCGGGCCTTCTTTTTTTAAAAATGCATGCTTGGTGTGCACATTTTTTTGTACACCATTTGCACATTTTGCTTGTCTACAAAGAGCTTTTATATTTTCAGACGAATTGTCCGTAGACAGATAAAATGTGTGAATGATGTACAAAAAGGGCGCACATTTTCAGACGAATTGTCCGTAGACAGATAAAATGTGTGAATGATGTACAAAAAGGGCGCACGCTAAAAATATTTGTTCTTTTTTGCACTACAAAATAACGCCCTACCCAGGGCCGGCCATGAGGGCAGTCCACCTAGACAAGTGTCTAGGGCCCCCAAATGCTAGGGGCCTCCAAATTATAAAGTAAGTCCATTATTATACATCTATATTTAGTTTAATTTCAATTCCTAAATATAAAAACCTGACCAACTGAATTGACAAAAGACGGAAGAGGCCTAGAAATAAGGGATTTAGCGAGCAGTGGAGGTTGGAAATAACTGACCGTCTAAATTCCGGCCTGGCGAGCTGCCAACTATCGACTTGCGAGCTTCTTGGCCTATTTCCTTCTACATTTCTTAGTTCCTAAATTGATTTCTGATTTACTTTTTAAAACTTTTTGTCAATTGTTAGTCTTACTCGGCTAGAGATCTGGACTAGGCCAACAGGATGTGTTAATGTACGGTGTATTATTGTATATTTCATGTGTTTGTATTAAAAAAAAAATCTGAAATGTATTTGTATATAACTCAATATGACACTAACAATAGAAGTATATAATTTTAAGTATTACTCTGTATTGTATAAAGTAGGAGTTAAACATTTACTCAAATAAC